CTTTTCAAACAAGACCAAGGGAGCTCACTCTCAACCAGTGATGGGAATAACGGCGTTACAAGTAACGGCGTTTTTTCAGTAACGAGTAATCTAACTAATTACTATTCCTATCATTACAACGCCGTTACCGTTACTAACAAGAAAATGCGGTCACGTTACTATTTTTCAACAAACAGACGGTGGAAGCTGTGTTCAGTTTACTGCATCTTATATCAGCTGCAGGAATTATAATTTGAATTGTAATCTGGGCGCTACAGCTTTAAGCAGCTGCTCCCGTGGACGGTACAACAGCTGGAGCTAATGGGGCAAAACAGTCGCATTATCCACAACTGCTCCTTGGCTCTTGGACAACTTTGATAATTCTTTTCACTCCTCTGTCTGAAACCTTGCAAGGAGCAAGGTTGTGGTCGTTGTCAGTTTATCATAAAATTATGTTCTTTCCACTTCTGCATTATGGTCCCAGTGGTGCTCACTGGGATCTTCAGTAATATTCCTCTGTAGCCAACAATAAAGTTCCACTTTTCACTGGTTTTACCGATCATGTTTTAATAGACCATCAGCTGGGACTGAACCTCCCTTTCTTCATTTTTTCAACAAAGTTTTTTATTATCACACATAATGTAATTACACAATTTATGCGTCTATGGTTTGATTTCGTTGTGTGTGAGGTGGGTGGGTTGTTATCAACATATGGTGAGAATTTCATGTCAACCTAAACTTTAGAAATATATTTACTTGAAAATTTGTGATGTGTTCAATTTTATTGTGCATTAAAAAACAGAACCATCATCAGCCTGTTTGCACAAACTCAGATATGTGACATGTAACGGGGAACACTTGGAAAAGACTTGATCCAAACTCACAGCCTCACACATGCTGTTAGGGTCGACATGTTTGAAGCCGCAGCAGTTGAGGCTCTTCTCCACATCTCTCTGGGTGCTCTCAGAGTTGTTCCAGCCCACCTCCAGCAGGTGATCCTTGAGCAGTGTTAGAAGGAACATGAAGCATTACATCCGTCATCATCTGTCAGTATTTTCACATTAAGAGGTTCTGCTTAAATGACTTAATGAGCACATAGTCTGTGCAGCCTGACAAGTTTAGAGTTTTAATCACAGAAGCCACACTGGTTCACTTTTATATTTAAGCTTTTATTTTTTTTTATTTATCAGTAATAATCCTTATAGATGAAAAAAAGATACGACCTTTGTTTAAGCTCTATGTTAGCTACTTTTGGAGAGGCAGGTTTTAGGTCAAATCTACTTTTACATTTCACTTTTTATGTGTTATTCACTGATAATATCTATAAAATATGATTCCCATTGAAGTAATATTATTAGTGTTTACTGACCACAATTTACACTTATTTTAATTTTTTTTTATTTAATATAATTTGATTTCTTCCTCCTATTACACACACTTTCTTTCTTTTTTGGACGCGTTCCCATTCAAACGAATAGGGGAAAATTCTGTAGTTTTTT